AGTGTTTATAAAATTTGACTGTGGCGTTGCCTCCGGGCAGTGAACAAGCAGAACTTGGAGGAGGCTTACCTTCTCCACACTGCTCATTGCCTGGAAATAGATGTTGTATCCTTTGCGTGGTGCCAGAGGGGGGTTCCAAAAGCCCTGATAGGTCCTGTTGTCCCCCACTGTGAAGGGGGCAGGTTCAGGAAGATTCCCGGGGGGCAGCTCAGCCGCAAAGTAGTAGGGCGCACCCCCGCTCATGGCGTTTTGGTAGGTGATGGGAACCTGGTAGCATTCCATGGCCCCCGCTTCTCGCTTGGTTCGGTGTGGGTGCAACTCCTCCACCACAATCTGATAAGCACTTTTGGGGAAAGAGAAGATAAAGCGCACATTTAGAGAGGCTACATACTAAGTGTTCTCAACAGAAGAATGAAGTACTGGATAATGACGGGCAACACCTCACAAGCCTCTGAAGTCAGTCTGAACACCCTGCTGTCTTGCTTTCAGCTATTTTGCCCTGAGGCAGAGTTGCACATGGATGCTAACCCCACCATGATGCTTAAGGGAGTGAAAAAAGTTTTAAAAAGTCAGCATAGAGCTCTACACACTTTTCACTGTTGAGAAGTGAGTCACCCTAAGAGGGAACCTGACATTAACCAGAGACACAAAATGAATTATTTGTCTGATATTGTGAAATGTTTAAAGTTAACATTTTCCTTTGAAATGAAGGCATGGAAGGCCCAGCTCCAAGACCCGGGAGCAGAATGGCCGGCCCGGGGCAGAGCCCATGGCACCCGTCTGCAGAGTCAGGAGACAGAATGTGCTGGGGTCCTCCCACGCGTGACCTTGGCTCCACCTCGCTGTGGCTCACAGCCATGCGGATCCAAAGCACCAGTGACGCGCTGCCACACGGGCACAGATGGACAGAAATCTGTCCTCGCCACCGAAATAGACTGCCTCTTCCGTCTACAGTTGTTAATAATAAAATGTTACAAATTGCAGAAGCAGATGGCATTTGGCCTATTAAATCTCAAACCTAAACCTTTCAATGTCTTCCTTAAATGTCTTAAACTTTTCTGTAATAGCTGTTATATTACAGAGCAAAGGGGAAAAAAAATGCAATTTTAAAATCAAGATCTGCCTGACCACTTATATTATTTTTTTTATAAATTTCTCAAACTGCTATATTAGTAATATCCTTTCTCCATAGGCCATTCTTTAGGCAAACATTTTTAGGAAATGCATCCCCAAGAAAGTTATTAATATATTTATATATCAGTAAAGAATGTAAAAGAATTATGTTTCAGAATTCTAGAAAGTTATTGGAAAGCGACTTGTGGTCCCATACAGAAAATGAATGTGAATAGCTGTGTGTAGAGCGGCATGCTTGACTCTGAGTCTCCAGGAAAATATGTCAATCAATACAGGGAAAATAGGTGCGGTTAAATGGATTTCCAGAGGAAATGGACCATTTGCTTTAATGAACTTCCATAAAAAGGAAAAGGAAGAATGCAAGCAGATAGAAAGACACAGACACACACACACACACACACACTCATACACACACACACACACACACACACGGCAGGGGGTAGGGGGAGGGATTGAATCTGCCTCTATGACTATTAAAACAAATTTCATACCAGTTTAAAGTCAGCTATGAAATTCTAGTTTAATATAAACTGTGTTATACCCACAGACAGAAGACCTTCATATATTTAACAAAGAGCTTTATAAATTCATTTTCCCCCTTAATTATTCAAGTTCCAATTTCCCATTAAAATAGTGCCAAGAAATTGGTAGGTTGGTATCTATCTTCTTTCCCTTGGAAATAGTATGAACCTTTTATTAATGCCAGAAATTCAGATATGGGCAAGTAAGTCTATGTTATTTGAAATTACATGACCTGCGTCATTTTCTAGATCTCTGCCAGGCTGGGTCTGCAAGCTCCTAGAACTGCTCTTTACAACATACATGCTCTCCGAGGGGTCCATGGAGGAGCCTCTTGTTAATTTTAAGATATAAGAAATACGAAGCATAGAGAGAGAGAAAAAAAGATCATGGCTGGCATATGCCATATTAAGCAGACCTAGTATTCTTTTCCTGTGCATTTTCAATTTAGAATCCATATCTAATAATATACATTTGCATATTTGGTAGATACATACATATATGTAGAGTAAACCCACACACACACACACATTCAGTCTTAACTAATTCTATTAAATTGACACAGGTAGGACATTACAAAAATAAGAAATTTCATTCAAAACAGCTCACCTTTCCAGATCTACAAGGAGCAAAGCAAACAGCTGCTCTTGGAGGAGAGGTGAAGGAAGAAAAAGCACAAGCTGTCCTTTGGGAGGGACCTCATTGAACTTAAGATGGACCTAAGCTAAAAGTGATTAAACTCATTTAAAAAATAATATATTTTCCTTTCATTGTTCAATTTGTCTGTGCCAGCTGTTCTCCAACCATATTATTTTACTTAGTTTGGACAGTTCCTTTTCCCTTTCTACTCTCTTATTTATCAATACGAATTAATTAAAGTACCGAAAACAAGGAATGAGAAATCAAATTAAAAGTGATTTGACTGATTGCATGAAATGGGCCTGTGCTTTCTCATCCTCGTGGTTGTCTAATTACCTAATGGTACTTAATTCTAGCTAGATTTAAATATTATTTGAGCTTAGTACTCTAGCAATTTAAAATATTCCAAAGTCACTTGAAGAGCTTATTCACTCTACCCATATTTCATATATTCCCCATTCCTTTTAATTACATTTAAAAAATATTTCTACAATTAAGTTAAAATCAATTTACTGGCATTATGAATCTTCACTCAAAAGTCAAAATAGGATTTCCTTATATTAAAAAACTAAAAATGATTTCACTACACAATAATCCATTGTGATTAAACACCAGAATGTAATCATTTTTAATTTTGCGGGAGGCCAAATAATGACATTTCATCATACAATTTCTCTTCCGTTTATAAGACTGTAAAAAAATGTACAAAGGGATTTTGACATTAGCTCAAAAAGTGAGTATATGATACATCTGGTAGATAGTTTCCTTGATGAAATGCTTAAAAATGTTGGAGGTGAATCCAAAATTATCAATGACAGCCTGCCATGGATTTTCCAACTACTACTAACTAAACTATCTATGAATCTGACTAGTTTCAGCTTGCACACCTTAGTGATACCAAATAACAAATTTTGTACAATTCATACTCCCTCTTTTTTAAAAAATTTAAAATGTCTCTCTACAACTTCAGGAGATTTTCTCCAGTTCCAATGTCTGACAATTTTCTTATAAACAGCCTTCCGAAGATCAGAGCCACCACTGCCAACATTTTGATGATCTAGAGTAAAGGTTTAATTTTCATCTTGGTTGCCATCATATTTCCTGTTCTTCATCTCTGAGTCACAAAGCTCAAAATCGTGGCATTAACTTTAACAAGGCCCATTTTTTACCTGTTTTACTTCCCTTGTAATATACCACCTGGGGGCACACACCAAATTACCTTATGTGGGTTTCTATTCCAAGTACCCAGCTCTGCACCTAGCACATACTGAATGCTATTGGATGAATGACTTTATAGAAACATTGAGGAACAAACTCTACCCAACAGGTGCTATGACAGAGGCTCTTGGAAATGGAGTTTGTTTGACATTAGCAAGGCCAGAGCAGAAATAATTAGATATTTCACTGGAGTTGGGACAAATGGATGGTGAAATGCAGTCTGGCAGAGTCTGTAAAGTAAGGAAAGATAGATCCTAGTATTTAGAGCTTATGATAGCAAACAAAGGTAACTGATGGATGCTCTCAGGAGGTTGAGCTAGGTGCTAAATGGATATGGCTTTTATTGGGAGGAGAGGAGTTGAGCCACAGACTGGCAATGGCAACAAGCATTTACAAAGAAGAGATTCTGATAGACTGACAGAAAGAAACTGGGTGGAAAGTAAAGGAGTTTTAAGGACCTCAAGGTAGTAATAAGGATCCAATAAAAGATTTGAAGTACCAGACCATATATATATATAGTGCTTTGGAATTTTTTTATTACATCAAGTTTGGCCCCTCATTTTCAAAGAAATTGGAGTAGTGGACAAGTTAAGTGCCAAGATAAGGCTCCCGTTACTAGTGGCAATGCCGAAGATGGGAACATGGTCAGAGGAAAGAAGACAGGGTGATATGACTAGAGGACTTAAAAAGCAAAGGAGGCTGGATTCATCTGAGGCCAAAATGCCTGACTAGATCAGTCTGATTCTACCACCAGGCCACCACCTATGGGTGATACCAAATACATGAACAGATCATTTTTTTTTTTAAAGGAGCTTGGCCAGTGTGGCTCAGTTGTTGAGCATTGACCTATGAACCAGGAGGTCATGGTTCGACTCCTGGTTAGGGCACATGCCAGGTTGCAGGCTCGATCCCCAATGTGGGGTGTGCAGGAGGCAGATGATCAATGATTCCTTCTCATCATTGATATTTCTATCTCTATCTCCATCTCCCTTCCCCTCTGAAACTAAAAAATATATGTCTTAAAACAACACACCTAAAAATGGAAATAAGATTAGATTATCAGTTGGAAAACAGATTTTTTTTTCCTGGTAGTAATATTAGTTTAAAATACTTTTTATTTGTTTATATATCATTTATTTCTTCTCGTAGTATTAAATTTATTTGAGAACTTATCTTCGAAGTGTAAAACTGGTATTTCTCAGACATTGGGCTCAATTTCAGAAAAGGACAAATGCCTTTCCAATAAGTACAAAGAGGTGCATGTCTGTGTCAGAAAAAGAGAATATGATTATCAAGGATTATTTTTGCATAATCATGAATTCAGACTGTGTGGATTTTTGGTAATTAATATTTTTGTATTAAATAAAAAAGTAGAAGAAAGACATTTGATTTAATTCAACAAATTGTCTGAACACCAGCTATGAGCAAAGGATTTACAAGGCTGCAGGCAGTTCTCATTGTCCATGACACATAGGGAGACAGGCTCTGTGTTTCGTTGTGATCATTTTAATCATTGATTGACGATGCCTAGCACCATGCCTGACACGTAATACCTGGTCAGTCAATATCTGTGCAATAAATTGATTAAATGATTAAAGAGTTAGTGTATGCTATGTTATATAGATAAATAATACACTGTGTTTCCAACTTACACTAAATAAAGCTGAATTCACTCAAATATCTAACTCTTATAAGATAAATGGAAATACCTGGCAGCTCATCTAAAAAACAGTAGCAGAACTGAACACCTACAAAGTAAATTTTATCACAGGTGGGACGTGTGAATGATCCTGACTACTTGTCAATAGAAAAAGATATTGAATGAAAGCATTTTCTCCTTCTACTTTGGATCAGCCATCAGGCTCACAGTTCATCAATTCATGAATAGCACTGCATCCTTACTTTGCCTTTTCAAGTACCTAGTGTTTCCCCAGGTGTTTATACTACAAGAGTATCTGGTCAGATTTCTTTTCCTCTGCTGTGGTATGCCGAGGCATTTTAGCCAGACAGACTCGGAGAGTTTTCTTAATGAACTAACGCTGTTTTATCAATATATATATTTTTAATTACAAATACTTCTTTCTTTCTAGTGACATAGAATAATCTGAATGGTTAGTATATGCTTATAAGGCTAAATGCATTCATTTTACACATAAAGATTAACTTTACTTTTTTTTTTTAAAATATATTTTATTGATTGTTTACAGAGAGGAAGGGAGAGAGATAGAGAGTTAGAAACATCGATGAGAGAGAAACATAGATCAGCTGCCTCCTGCACATCCCCCACTGGGGAAGTGCCCGCAACCCAGGTACATGCCCCTGACCGGAACCGAACCCGGGACCCTTCAGTCCGCAGGCCGACGCTCCATCCACTGAGCCAAACCGGTCCCGGCAATTTTACTTTTTAATAAAGATGCAAACAACTTGAGATCACTCAAATATGAAATATCTGCACTATTTTTTGTGCCTTGATTTATCAATAGAAATATGAAAACAAAAGTATCCACAAACATCTGAAAATTTTTAATAGAATCTTGCATCAGTTTTAAATATTTATCTAAAATGGTTAGAATAATTTGACTCAATCCCTGAAAAGATAGCTCATAATTATATGGAAGATGAGGGTAAGATGGGGGATTTTAATATTGGAAAGATAAAGGAAATACAAATTAAATTTTAATATTTCCTATGGAATTCCTGATAAGCCACAACTTAGGAATTAAAAGGTCACATAGGCTACATTCATTCTACTTTTATTTTCTCAAAGCTTCCTATTTTTCAATCATTCATGTGAAATTATGCATAAAGGATCTGATGCATTGGATAGGAGGTATTTTCGCATTCTATTTCAAATACCTTCAAAACTCATATACCATAGATATCAACAGAGGAAGTGAAATGAAATGGGACAGGAAAAAAATAAAAGAGCAATGCTCTTAAATCAAGCAGCACAGAGAGGCGAATGATTGAATTCATAAATAACCCCTTAGCATTCTTCTCTTAACTACAAGTCTACCCTCAGGCTTTCTCCAAATGAAAAAAACAAACACAAAACAAAAGAGAAATAAAAGCTCCTGATAGTAATTGGCAAATGACTGTCTCAGAAATGATCCACTCACTACTAGTATATTAGCTGCTAAGTAACTATGAGAAAAGATCCCTCACTTTGGCTGTTTTTTCCTTTAACTATTGTTTTTCCCCTCTTACCTGATAGGGGCACCTTTGGCCTGTGCTGGTCTCAACAATACAGTTATTGTGGTGGCAGTTTCATTGAGAGAGGCATCAACTCCTTCATAGTCAGGCAGTGTTGGAGCTGATGAGTAATTAATGACCAAAAAAAAAAAAAAAAAGGGGAAAGGTTTCAATCAATTAACAGTAATATATCATAGTTCAGGTTGAATAAATGATCCTGACCAAGGAAAAACATCAATTTAATATTTAATTGTCTGAAATGATCCTTATTTTGTAGAATAATATATGCCTGAATGTTAACCCTGGGCATCGAGGACAGCAGAAGATGCAGAGCCAAGAATTATTGAAATCTAATTAATAATTTGGCAATTTGTGACACACCCCAAACACTTCGTGAAGCTGTTTTAGGTTTTCGTTTCCCAGAGTCCTTCAATTCAGCAATGATGGGATGGGATGAAGGTGGTAATAGTGGAGACCATGGGGAGCCCTGATAATGGAGCCGCACGTGGAGATGCGGAGATGGGAATGGCAGGAGTGCTGTAAAGGATGCCTGGAGAGGAGGTGCCCTTCATGAGCTAGTGGTTGTAACATGATCCCATATTAGTATTTGGGCCATTTTCACCACTGTGGTTACAACAGAAACATATCAAGGACGTGTGATGAATGGGAATGGGAACATTCGTTTTTATTTACCACAAACTAATACATTAGTTGCTAGACATCTGAAAAGAAGATATATTTTCAAAATATTTGATAATGTTGTGGGAGAGGGGAACTTCCTTCTCCAACTGGTTGAAAAATTAGCCTCAATTGGCTTTTAATTATTCCCATTTGGAAGGATGTTTGAGGGAGTCTATAATCTGTGAAATGTGTGCATTAGAATAACAGAACAAGTGGCATCTAATCAATTTTTGAAGTATTTCGTTCATTCATTGAACATTTACTGAATACATACAGTGAGCTCTAAATATAAAGGAAAGTGAAGTGTAGTCTCTTATATTAATAGAATTAAAAGGAGGGCATCATAGTTCATCAGAAATGAGAGTCATAAAAATTTATAGCAAAATATTTGGTGACCAAAAGAGGAAGACAGTTAATTTGCTAAAAGAGTGGTCTCCAAGCCACCTAGATGGCTTCTTAAAACACAAATTGCCAACACTTTCCTTCAGAGTTTCTGATGCAGTAGGTCTGGGGAGGGGCCTGATAATGTGCCTTTCTAGAGATTTTCCACATGACATTGTTGGGGTTGGTCTGGGGACCACACCTGGAGAGCACTACCTAAACTAGTGATGGGAAAAGGGAAGATGAAGCAGGGAAGGCTTTAGAGTTTGGGTGATGCTTAAGGTGAATGTTAAAAGAGTAAAAACTCACCAGAAAGAGAGCGCATATAATAAAACTCCAGAGAGAGAAAACAGTATGGTTGAAGACACCTAACATGAAATGAAAAGATGTGTTCTAATAACTGTAAGCAGTTTAATACACCTGAACTTTGTGTTCATAGGTAGGAGTGGAGAATGGAAGGAACTATACAAGGATGAGCCACAGATGCTAACCAGGCATGGATGATTGGATTTTATCCCACTAAATACATTAGACTAGAGGCCCGGTGCATGGATTCGTGCACTGGTGGGGTCCCTCGGCTGGCCTGCGGGGATCAGGCCCAAACCGGCTCTTCAACATCCCCCAAGGGGTCCTGATTGTAAGAGGGTGGTTCTTGGGTGACACACCCCGGAACTGGGCTCCCTCCTCTCTTCCAATATTATATCACTTTTTCTCTGTATCTGTCTCGCTTCTTTCATCTCACTTTACCCTAAATTTGGCAGTAACTGATGACTTATGGGCGTTTAGCTGCAAAATGCAATTATTTAGCAAACAGGATTTACTTAGCCTGGAATCTAGTCTGCCTAGTCCCTGCTCAATGTCAGGCTCCTGCCCTGGCCCTGTCGTGGTGGGGCCTCCTTCTTCCCACCTGAGCTGCTCCTTCGCCTCCTTCCCTCCAAGGAGGTTGCCTGCTGGTGCTAGTGCCCACCTGGAAGCAGGGATGCTGCGGCCAGTTTCCCAGCCAAGAGTGGTAGCGGGAAAATTTGCTGCCTCTACTGGAAATCAATATTAAGCGGTTGGGCCAGCATGGGCACCAGACATTGGGGCTGCAGTGTCCTGCATGTCTCATCATTTAGGTAACTGAGTCAAAAAGTTTCTGTAAGGGCCAGACTCATGACCTCTGCAATGGGCTAGAGACCTGGTGGGGAGCCAGACCCAAAGTGGAGAGCCAATGGGCTAGAAGTCCGGTTCGGGCGCATCACCCAAGAACCGCAGCTGCCAAGTCACCACAGCTTGGCGGCTTCTGCATTGAGTGTCTATCTCCTGGTGGTAAGTGGGCATCACAGCTACCAGTTGAATGGTCAGCTGGCCGGTTGGTCACTTAGGCTTTTATATATATAGATGGGGGGAAGGGACTTAAAAAAGAAATATATGTTGTATAAAGGCAAGGATACTTCTTAGAGAGATATTTCAATGATCTGTTTAAAATATTGTCTAATTAGAAAGAAAGGAAAAGTGACATTGCAAAGAGGAACATAATCTGAGAGTTATTTAGGAAGTAGAATCAATAGACATTATATACATATACAACTATATAAATTATGTCTCCAAGCATCATTTCTCCAATAACTTTATTTCATGTTTATTTAAACTACTTTTAAAATATCGAGGAATAGAACCACTGGACTCATTAGATAAATTACAGTAAGTTCTTAACCGTTCAAGTGATGCTTAGAACCACAATCATAAATTTTGTCAGCCTGAGCTTGAGTATTATATGTTCCCAAGATATAGTGGTTGCACCAAGTTTTTAAAGTTCCAATCGAGTACCCATGTACACAGGTTGCTTCAATTGGAAGTGCAATGAAATAATTTTTAAATTTTAAATGCTAAATGGGCATTTAGTCTTTAATTAGGGTCCAGTTGTTCAGTTCTATCAGTTTTACAAATTTATGAAAATTCTGTAGATATCTCTGTTGAAAGATATTAGTCATTTATAATACTACTGCTAATTCTAGAATGTAGGCAACATGTCTCACTATATCATGATATCACAAAGTCATATTTTCTAGTAAAGTGACAACAAATATTTTAAAGGGATTATAGTGCATACTGGAATAGCTAATTTTTCATGATATATATTTTTAATGTTTTTTAATTTTTCAAAACATTTCCAAATAACATTTTGGACTTAAAAATTATGTACCTTTCTTCTGATACAAATGTTACCAATTGAGAGCAATGATGAAATTTTTTTAATAATGTATTATTCCACTTTTATATGCAACTAGACATATAATAAAAAAAACATTAAAAGAATAACTTAGAAATGCAAAATTAGTATTTTAATATGTTAAGGGGTTAATATTTTCAGTGTTAACTCATTACATATATAATATATACTTATTTTACTAATCATAAACAAATTATATACAGAATTACATAAGCTGGATTTGGGGCATTTTACAATGGTAATTTCTGGCAAAAAATTAATAAGGTTTAATTGATGACTTGACTGAAGAAGTCACATCTGTAAACAATCTAGTCAAAAGTAAACTATTAAACTATGAGCTTAACATAATGAAAATTTAATTGTATTTGTTTATCAACCTAACACACTGCCATTGAAAAATCAAGATAAATTTATGTGAGATTCTAAGAGAAAGAAAAGTTCTTATTTGTTTAAAATGATCAGAATCTCAGTAAAAATGGAGCAGAGAGACAAAGATATATGTTACTAAGATAGTAGAGCGAGGGTCATCTTTAATAAAATCCCTTTTCAGTAAAGATATGATACCAGATAAAAACTCCTCAAAATTATTATAGGCTTATTATATATATATATATAGTGAACTTTGAAAGCTTTCTACTAAATTTATATATATTTTTAAAGACCACTGTTGATGAAAATTGACTATTTCAGATGCATTTGGGTTTGGACATATAACCAAGAATAATCTGTATTGAAATAATTATTTAAAGTGCCTTCGATCATGAATAATATCAAGGATTCAATACGTGAGAAAAACTATACTCAGTGTATATGTGATACTCTGTGACACACAATTACAAATCGATTCTTTAGTCATTTACATACCTGAGATATTGGTTGTCACATTGATGGCTGTGGCTGGCCCAAAGCCTTTGACGGTGCTGGCTTTTATGAAAAATTGGTATGTAGTTCCAGGATGGAGATGCATAAAGACATGGTGTGTGCTGTTCCATAAATTCGATACAGTCTGTGGAGGTCCAGCCACTGGAACTGCGGGATCAAAAGATCTTATGCTGCTGTAGCTAACCTGTTTTAAGAAATACATTTCCTATTACATATCCAATTTGTCATAATAAATTTTACATAAATCCTTTTAAATAAGATAGCATTAAAGGCCATTTGTGGAGTGAATCATATTTTAATTTCAGTTCTTTTCTTCTCATTTAATATGGTTACATCCTGTATTTATTATCACCATGATTGGACCAATATAGATTTATTTTCTTTTATTTAAAAAAGTGTACTTAAGTATAAATATATAATCTTATGTATATAATCTTATATTTTAATGCATATGAAATACAGAATATGTTCAACAAATGTTTGTTTTAATTAACTTAATCTATACTTTGTCCAATTTACATAAATTTTATTTAAATAGTATTTAAATATGATAATATAGTCACAAATTATGACTGCACTTGTGATTCCCATCGCCATGATGCACTCTGTAGCCATTAGAAATTTAAGCACTTTATGCTTTAATCAACACTGACTATGCAGGTATAGAAATACACACTTACACAATTAAAAAAAATCCATTCTTTTCTTCTTTAAAAATATTATATTTAAAAATAAGATGGTAATTTATATTTAAAGTTTAAATATAGTCAGACTTATAATATATATTATATTACATTATATTATATATTTTATATATACATATATATGTATATATATTTAGTATTAATCCCCTTCTATGAAACAACTGACATTCAATGGCCTTTCCTAAATCACAGTATGAAATGAATTGCTCAATTTTATAAAAATTCATTCTTTACAATCACCATTAAGTCTGCTTGAAAGGGCCAATCCTGCTTTTCTAAAACAACTGCAAAAATAAACATATATTTACTTTAAGAATTTGAAAATTCTAGGTGCCATACAATATTTATTTTGATACTAAATTTTGGGATCAAGGAATATCTAGTTAAAAGAGAGGAGAAATAGTAATTATTTTAATCTCTTAATCCTCACTCATTTTCCCCTATTTCCCTTTTCCTTTTCCTCTCCGTTTTCCTTTTACTTTCCCTTTAATCCACATTTCAATTAACTTCCTTGTCCTCCCAATACCTCATATTGGGTGATGACTCCATTTGGATCCAGAGGCTCTTTCCAGTTCAAGAAAATCTTATTTTCGAAGGATGTTCCTTGAAGAGAATTGACAGGTACAGGACCAGGCACTACAAATACATATATTTAGTTATAAGAATTCTTACATCAAAAAACAGAAAAAAGTACACTACAGAAGCTAGCAACCAAGTTGAAAATAAATATGTCTTTAAAAAGAAAATAAGCTTATATGAGCAGTTTTAAGCTTCTAACACAGATAATATACAAATGCAAAATTATTTTATATAAAAGTATATTCTATCACTTAGGGAGCTGAGTAAATTATCTAGTTTACTCCATTAATAGGCCTCTCATAACTTAAAATCTCATTTGTGATTTGTTTCATGAACAGAGCTGTGTTTTCCAGAAAGGTACTTTGAAGATTATAAGACCCAAAAGAGTCTCTATAAACAAAGTTCATGCAATAATGAAACATAATAATTAACACTCTTTAGACTAGGGAGTGAAATTATATAGTACCGAATTGAAATGCTCCACAGTCAGCAGCATTAAGCTACTTAACAGATAAACAGCTCAAGAAAGTGGCCTCGTGTATCTGAAATCAGGTAACTAGAAGACAGGAAGCCCATGGCTAAAACTCAGGTCCACAGGACTCTACGCTCTTCATGCTGCCAAACTGTAAGGCTGTTACCAAAGTTGCTGATCTACTGAGGAGATCACA